ACAGTGAGTTACGACCTCATAGATTAACCCCATTACCTAATGCCAATAAGGCCGCAGAGGATAAGAAAGAATCCAAAGAATCTAACCACGTCTAAAGTGATAGACCACACGGCCGTGACCGTGGTGGATGGAAAGGACGTGGTTGTGGCCACTATAACTCATCCGGCCGTGGGAACCACTATAACCGTGGATGTAGACCCAATTCCGGCCGTGGTCGAGGGCGAGGACGATGTGGTATTTCCAAACCACAACACTCGACCAAATGAGTATGCCATAGATGTGGTATTGAAAGGACGTGGTTGTGGCCACTATAACTCATCCGGCCATGGGAACCACTATAACCGTGGATGTAGACCCAATTCCGGCCGTGGTCGAGGGCGAGGACGATGTGGTATTTCCAAACCACAACACTCGACCAAATGAGTATACCATAGATATGGAATGGGAAACCATTGGGCTAAGATATGTAGGACTTCCAAACATCGTTGTGACCTCTATCAAGAGAGTGTAAAAGGGAAGAATCCTAAAGCCCATTTGGTATATAAAGATGGTGAACATGATCAAGATGATCTAATAGAGTATGAAACTTCTGATTGCATAAAAGAATCAAGTTGATAAATCTTACTTCGACATCAAAACCTCTATGTTTTTCTTTGCATTTTATGTGTTCATTGATTGTTATTTGCTTGAATTTATTTTATATTATTTTATGTTTAGAACATGATTCTTGTCCATATAAGAAATGGCCGAGGACAAGAACATAATTGTGGTGGATAGTGGAGCCACACAAAAGATAAGAGATATTTTCCTAAATCTCATAATGAAAAATGCCAATATTAGCACCATAGCGGGTATAGCTAGTCTTATTGAGGGCCATGGTCATGCCCATATACTTTTATCAAAGGGCACGCATCTTGAAATAAGCGATGCCCTATATTCACCCAGCTCGAAGAGGAGCTTGTCAAGTTTCAAAAATATAAGATTGAATGGTTTCCATATTGAAACAAAGGGTGAAGGGAACAAAGAATTCCTAAATATAATTGAGATCACCCAAGGACATAAGAAAGTCCTAAGAGACTATACCCGCATTATCCACTGGTCTCTACTATGCTAAAATCGATATGATCGAAGCTAATATGGCAATGAACAAAGAGTTCATCGAGAAATTCACTTTATGGCATGACCGGCTTGGCCATCCGGGTCATAGTATGATGCGTAAACTAATAACTAATTCAAAGGGGCACACCCTAAGAGAGAAAAGAGTTATCCCTAAGAATCTCACGTGTGAAGCATGTTCACAAGGGAAACTCATTATAAGGCCATCACCGGCTAAGGTAAATAAAGAGACCTTAAAATTTCTGGAAAGGATACAAAGAGATATATGTATGGTCCTCATTGATGCATCGACAAGATGGTCGCATGTTTGTCTCCTATCTACTAGAAACCAAGTGTTTGCTAGGTTATTGGCCCAGATAATAAGACTGCGAGCCCACTTTCCAGATTTTCCGCTTAAGACTATACGTCTAGACAATGCCTGTGAATTCACGTCCCAAGCGTTTAATGACTATTGTATGTCCATGGGGGTAAGTGTGGAACATCCCGTAGCACATGTACATACACAGAATGGATTAGCGGAATCCTTCATTAAACGAATTCAATTGATAGCTCGACCATTACTCATGAGGTCGAAGCTCCCAGTAGCCGCTTGGGGACACGCTGTTTTACATGCATCAGAACTTATACGCATAAGGCCATCTAGTGAACATAGATATTCACCATCCCAATTACTTATGGGTCATGAGCCAGACATATCCCATCTAAAGACTTTCGGGTGTGCCATATATGTACCGATTGCTCCACCACATAGAAACAAAGATGGGACCTCAAAGGAGGATGGGAATATATGTTGGATTTGATTCTCCCACCATTATTAAGTATCTAGAGCCAACTACGGGTGATCTATTTAAGGTTAGATACGCGGATTGTCATTTGAATGAATCCGAATCTCCTACTATAGGTGGAGAGACGAACAAGCTGGGTAAAGCAATAAAAGAAATATAATGAAATCAAACATCCTTAAATTGGCAAGATCCTCGGACTCTGGCATGAGAATCAGAGGTCCATAAGATTATACATTTGAAAAGCTAGCTAATCAATTGCCAGATTCCTTTGCTGACCCAAAGAAAGTTACAAAAACGTACATACCAGCTTGTAATGCACCAGTACGTATTGATATCCAAAAGCGAATCAATGAAATTGCTACCGAGTCTAACACACGAAAGAAACGTGGTAGACCAATAGGTTCCAAAGATAAAAATCCTCGAAAATCAAAGAAAAGTGCAATAGGAATCCGAGGTTACTAAGGAAACCATCCCAGACATGGAGATAAGGCCGGCCGGCTCTAAGGTACAGGTACCATATAATGTAGCTTGGGACGCCAAGCTGCAAAGTATTAAAGGTCCTGACCATAATAAATCTCAAATCGATTATATCATGTCTGGAACATAATGGAACATATAAGAAATGTCGACATAAGATGATTTTGCATGCAAGGTAGCACTTGAATTTATGAATATAAATGAGGATCAGGAGCCCACGTCTATACTAGAGTGCACTCAAAGACTTGATTGATTAAATGGTACAAGACCATAAAACGTGGAGCTAAGAATCATTAAGAAAAGGAATGAGTTTGGTCCGACCTTAAGGACACCATTCGATGTAAAAACCAGTAGGACACAAATGGGTCTTTGTGAAGAAGAGAAATGAGAATAATGAAATCGTGAGATATAAGGCACGGCTTGTTGCACAAGGATTCTCACAAAGACCGGGGATAGATTATGAAGAAACATACTCCCCTGTGATGGATGCTAAGACATTTAAATTTTGCTAAGTCTAGCTATATAAAGAAAAAGACTTGATTTGCGGCTAATGGATGTAATGCCTGCATATTTATATAAGTCCACTAGATGATATATATGAGATTACCAGAGGGTATTGAGCTCAAAGATAAAGATAAGAAAGGGTCTCGAGACCAATACTGCATAAGGCTGAACAAATCGCTTTATGGACTGAAACAAAGTGGACGCATGTGGTACAATAGATTAAGCGAGTACCTAGTCAGAGAAGGTTATAAGAATGATCCCATCAGTCCATGTATCTTCATAAAGAAATTTGCAAACGAAGGGTTTGTGATAATAGCAGTATATGTGGATGATTTGAACATCCTTGGAACCTCTGGGGAAATCGCCCAAACAGTCAAATATCTAAAGAAAGAATTCGAGATGAAAGACCTAGGCAAGACAAAATTCTGTTTGGGATTGCAACTTGAGTACATGAATAATGGAATCCTTGTGCATCAAAAGGCATATACTGAAAAAGTACTCAAGAGATTCAATATGGACCAGGCCCACCCATTGAGCAGCCCAATGGTGGTGAGAAGCCTCGGATTGGATAGTGATCCATTCGGTCCAAAGAAGGATGAGGAAGAAGTTCTCGATCCTGAAGTGCCATACCTTAGTGCCATAGGAGCGTTAATGTACTTTGCTAGCCACACTAGACCAGACATATGTTTTGCCGTGAACCTCCTTTGCCTAAATTTAGTTCATGATCAACCCAAAGGCACTAGAAAGGTTTGAAAGAAGGTTTGGTTAAATTTTAAATTCTATTCTTCCTATGTTTGTTTATTTGGGTTTTATTCTATACTGATCTAACCAAAGAAGGTCTAGTTTGCTTTGGTTTAGTTTGTTTTGCTGATGCAGGTAAAATCAGATTATGGCATGGTCAATAGATAGGAACTACGTGTGGCTTGATCCCTTCCAAGGGTACGTAGGCAGCCTTCTTCAAGGCGCAGCTACTACAACATCAAAGACCATCATATGAGGAGACAACACAGCCTGTATCGCTCAGCTCAAGGACGGCTACATCAAGGGAGATCGGACGAAGCACATTCTAACAAAGTTCTTCTTCACGCATGACTTGCAAAGGGATGGAGAAGTTCGAGTGGTACAAGTTCGATCCAGCGACAACTCAGCCGATCTCTTTACCAAGGCATTACCAACATCGACATTGAGGAAGCTCACGCATCAAATTGGAATGCAGAGACTTAAGGACTTGCAGGGATGACCAAAACAGGGGGAGTAATACGTGCTGTACTCTTTTTCCTTAACCATGGTTTTGTCCCAATGGGTTTTCCTGGTAAGGTTTTAATGAGGCAGCATCCCCAAGCGTATTACTGAGATCCTTTGGCATCTACACGGTTATGTCATCCAAGGGGGAGTGTTATAAACCACATGTTGGATGGACTCCATAACCGTGGACCTTATGCATATTCTAGAAGGCCCATGTCCATGTCCTAGAAGGCCCATGCCCATGTTCTTGAAGATTCTCCTTATGACGGCCTATATTGTACTTAGTGGGCTTTTGGGCTTTAGGGTTTACTAGCCCAATGGGGATTTGTCTCCCCTCATCATGTATATATATGTATCGAAATCTCATTCATTAATCAATAGAACAACACAGTTTACAACATAAACAAAATTACAAATCAACGTAAAAAAGCTTAAGTCCTTCAATATATATGCTGCGTAGTTTTTTAGCTAGTACCGCAAAACAAATATTATTAGATTATTATATATACTAATATTCGTATAAATCTTGAGAAAGCTACGTAGGTGGTGTTAACCACGTTCTTTTTGTCGTAAGTCGTTTATGTAAATCAATCCCTAACGGCTAAAATTTACTGCTCGTATATTAAAATTCTTTTATTCGTCCATTGCTAAATTTCCAACTTTAAATTTATTTGTTATCTTTAAAGTAAATTGTATTTTTAAATGCCCAAAAGGGAAACAAATCTTTCATATTTAACTAGTATTACTTACCATACACATATGCATAAATCTGAAACAGAATCTACGAATATTTAGTAACAGCCACCCAAATTGTAAAGAACTTTTGTTTTCTATATATTCAAATAACAGCCAGATACAAAAAAAAAAAAAAAAAAAAAAAAAAAAAAAAAACTCTTCACCATCTTTTCACTCTCTGTATTAGAAAAACAGTAAAAGAGAAAAGATGGATTGTTTGCTTTGCTCCCCAATTTTATATGTTTTTCTTATTTTTATGTTGTATTTAGTTAGAGTTTTGTTAAATCGGAGTCTTTCCTTTCCACCAGGTCCAAAAGGATTTCCAGTGATAGGAAACTTTAAACTTAAAAATCAGTTGAATCATCGTGGTTTGGCCGAGTTAGCTAAACAATTTGGTGGTCTTCTACATCTTCAAATGGGTAAAATTCATATTGTAGCCGTTTCTACCGCTGACATGGCACGAGAAATTCTTCAGGTAAGTGATATTTATTTGAATTTTAATTATTACTTGAATTATTATTTTTGACACCATTATTTTTTAATGATTCTTCTCAATCATTTCAATTTGTTTGGATTCTAACAAAAGAAAACATGAATGGATTCAATTAAAGTATTCGGTTATGTTAGGTTCAAGATGTGGTTTTTGCAAATCGGCCAGCTAACGTGGCGATTTCATATCTTACATACAACCGGGCGGATATGGCGTTTGCTAACTACGGTCCACTTTGGCGTCAAATGAGAAAGATTTGCGTTATGAAGCTCTTTAGCAGAAAGCGGGCCGAATCATGGGCCTCAGTACGAGAAGAAATTGATTCAATGGTTCAAACACTGACCAACCAAACCGGTTCACTGGTTAACGTGGGAGAGTTGGTTTTTGCTTTGACGCGGAACATAACCTACAGAGCTGCGTTTGGCTCGTTCGCTCGCGACGGTCAAGACGAATTCGTCAAGATACTACAAGAGTTCTCTAAGCTCTTTGGTGCATTTGATATCACAGAGTTTTTACCGTGGATGAAATGGTTTGGTAACCACGGTTTCAACAAGCGGTTAGAAAACGCTAGAAAATCATTGGATGGGTTCATAGATAGAATCCTCGATGCACATATCGAAAAGAAGAAATCGCGAAAACCAGACGATGATGGCTTGGACGATGACATGGTCGATGAACTAATGGCGTTTTATAACGGTGAAAATGGCAGTAAATCTAATAATGATTCACAGTCATCACTCAGTCTCACAAGAGATAACATCAAAGCCCTGGTCATGGTAATAATACAACTAGATTAATATTACAAACCATATGTTAAATTTTTATAATAATGTCATTTTAACTGATTAAGAAGTTGAATTATTATTGTAGGATGTGATGTTTGGTGGGACTGAAACGGTGGCGTCTGCGATTGAATGGGCAATGACGGAGCTAATGAAGAATCCTCACGAACTGAGGAAATTGCAGCAAGAACTCGCTGAGGTCATCAGTTTGAATCGTCAATTTCACGAATCTGATCTCGAGAATCTACCTTACTTCAGATGCGCAATGAAAGAAACGTTGAGGCTACACCCGCCGATTCCGCTTCTGCTCCATGAGGCGGCGGCGGATTCCGTCGTCTCCGGCTACTCGATTCCCCGTGGTTCTCGGGTCATGATCAATGTGTATGCAATTGGGCGTGACAGATCGGTTTGGACTGAACCAGATGCGTTTAAACCGGGTCGGTTTATGGATAACAAGGCTCCGGATTTCAAGGGTAGTGATTTCGAGTTTCTACCGTTTGGGTCGGGTCGAAGATCGTGCCCGGGTATGCAATTAGGGCTTTATGCTATGGAACTCGCCGTCGCGCACATGCTTCATTCTTTTGATTGGGACTTGCCGGGCGGAGTTAGCTCTGGCGATTTGGATATGACTGACATGTTTGGTCTCACGGCGCCTAGAGCCACCAGACTCATCGCCGTTCCGACCTACCGGCTAAAGTGTCCGATGTTTTGAAATGGTGTTGTGTAGCACAGCTTTATACCAGCTGTTTAATTTTACTTCCAATGCAAGAAACTAATAATAATTATCATACTTCAAGAACTACCGCTGCAAGAAACTATAGTAAACAACTAGCTAATTTTGGGTCACAACATAAATATAAATCTTCTCTGTTGGGCCTCGTAGACAAAATACAAGCCCAACCAGATAATCACGCGTGGAAAGAAGGAACACGTGGACTTAGGATTCGGATGACGTGGCTTTACTTTGGCGCGGAACCTTCCTTCATTAGTTAGCCTTGGGGCTACGTACGTGGTCTAACGAAAAAAATGAAAAATCCAGTAGTAATTAGTAATTCTACAATTTAACTTTGTCTGACGATAACAAATGCATGAATCTATTATCTACGTGGTCCATTCATGTAACCCTTTTTGCATATCTATTTTTAGTAACTACCAACACAGCAGACAAGACGTGAGAATATATTCCAACTTCTTTCTATTTGATTTTGTTTATGTGCTCTTTAAAATTAACCAAGATTTTTTTAAAAAAAAAAAAAAAAAAAAAAAAAATGAAGGTGCTAGCCAAGATTTCAACGAGAGAATTTAATGCATCGGACTATTAATAAAAAATTACAAATTTCCTCCACTTTGAAGTCAATATCTATTGAATGCATCTTTAGTCATTATGCAGTACAACTATCTAGATTGCCGACTGATCTTATTATTTATAATGTCGCATAACATATTATACTATCTGATCAGTTGTTCACTCGTTTCATTATTATTAATGCCGCATACAATAACTTGAACACATGACTTCTCCTTGACTAAAATAATAATTAAAAAAACGAACAAACAACATTCAGAAAGAATGCAATATTGACCTCGAAGTCTCGAACACATGACTTCTTCCGGACCAAGAAAAAGAACACATGATCACTTCTTTAGAAATAATAAAAAGGAAAGTAAAAAGGAAAAAAAAAAGGAAACAAAAGGAAAAAAGAAAGAAAAAAAAAAAAGTAAAAAGTAAAAAACAAAGAGTCTTTTCTCCGTAATGTCAATGTCTAACCGCTTCTCTCTTTCTCTCAAGTCTCACCTACCAACTTACTACATTGTACACGGTGTAACATTTTCTCCTCTATCTCTCTTTTGCTGGTTTTTGTTTTACTATTGAAATTGCAAAAGTTGTACCTAAAGAAAACTTCTCTCTCTTGCTAATCTCAAAATGGAAACATTGATCAACCTGATCTCTCTCTCGTTCACAGAAAAGAAAAGTAAAACCCAATGTTTTAATTTGTTTTTGTCTCTCACGCCATCTAAAGATATCTTTTTGTACTGGAATCGTCGTAATTACCATGATCATCACCATAATCATCTTTTGACTGTATAATACATCTTTACTCCTTCTATAGTACCTATCTCTTTCGCCCAAACAGAAAAAATAATCAACTTAGCTACATAATCTCTCTCTCTCTCTCTCTCTCTCTCTCTCTTTTAAAGTTTTCACTTTTAAAATATGATTTTTTCATTAATTAAAAACATTTGCAAGATAGCCCATCATTATCTTACATGGGCAAGCCCACTCTATGATATTAGGCAGCTAATACAGTTCATTTAGGAACCGGACTTGAATTAATTCTCAATGGCTCAACCAGCTCATTCGATGAAAGATTAAATAAAGTGGAAACGACGAACTTGTACGAGTTTGTTTGTGATGGTCGGAAAAATACGTATCGATTTCGGCTCGGTCAGTTAATAGAGTGGAATTTGGCAGAAAGAGACTACAAAATTATTTACATGCATATGAAAATCTATTAGCTAGGAGCCTAGGATCCATGAAGTCTTTCAATATATAGAGGCTTAAAATTATTTTACTCTTCGACGTTATACCTGGACTCAACTAAACCTGTTCTTCTTCAGAGATCATCATAATAAATGTCATACGTAATATTCCCAGTACCGACACAACAAAACATTATTGGTGATTCAATATCAAAATATAGACCGTTGAAGCCCCAAAGACATCCAAGGCTGGCTACCAATATAATACGGGAAACACAAAGCTTATCCATGCCGTAAATCAGTTGAGCCAATGAAATTGCAGCGATGACAACACTTAACGTAAGGAAATAAACATCCCATCTCTGCCATGTATAACATATACAAAACATAGATACGCTCACCATTAGTAAGGTGATGGCGAGCAACTTTTGTCGGCCTCTGAGACTAGTGTGTGGTCGATATGAGGGGGAAAAACAACAAACCAGTCTGAAAACGTATACATATATTAACAAGAACAAGAATAAAAAAAATAAAAAAATATATATATATTAACAAGAATCCAAAGTATTTTAGTATAACATAGCTAAAACTCATTTTTTCTTTATATACAATCACACTATCCCATACTCTTGCGACGCAATAGATCGATATAATAGCCAACTTAAGCAATAGTGCTCGTGTGACCACATCGTTTACGCCTACAATCATAATTCTATTTGAAGGACTCGCCACAACTTCATCTGAAGCATCCGACATCGTACAAATTAAACTTCTTTTCGTTTGATTCTCTAGGAAAGCGTAAAATATGAAGGATCCAAACTTGGTTTTCTGTATTTTCTTTTATATACAAGAGAAAAAAAAAATTCATGGAATATATAGCTTTAATTGTCGAATCTCTAAACATTAAAATACAATCTCTTGAAAACATATATTTTATATATAGAAGAAAACACGTCTCCAAAAAAAAAAAACCTGTTTATGTTTAAATTATTTTGGAGTTTTATTATTTAAGTTAAATCCTTATTTTTTTTAATCTATAAAGCACTACGTGGAATGTATTCATTATTTTTGACTTTTATCATATAAGTTAAATCAAACGTAGTTTACAACACATGTCTATTTATCAATAGATATAAAAATAGCTTATTATTAAATTTGGAATAATTAATGTAAAATGACATGTAAGATAAGTTATCATAATTTAAGACATGTCCAATAGCGTACTAGATTCACAAGAATGTGTCTTAGAACATTTGGTAGTACTTTAATTTGGAAATATGAAAATATATTCTATCATTTGTCATAATTTAAGAAATGGATTAGTTTTCTTGAAATGAATTATTTTGCCAATTAATTCTTAAAGATCCCAAATTATGCAGGTAACTACCGAGTCATGGGCCTCAGTACGAGAAGAAATTGATACGATGGTTCACCAAACATAACGTACGGAGCTGCGTTTGGTTCGTTTGCTCGCGGCGTTCAAGATGAGTTCGTCATGATACTACAAGAGCTCTTGAAAAATGAAAATCTTTGCATCATTCGGTATTGCAGAATTTTTGTACCGTGGATGAGATGGTTTAGTAACCGTAGTTTCAACAAGCGGTTAAAAAACGCTAGGAAATCGTTAGATGGGTAATGGGTTCATAGACAAAATCACCGATGCACAAATCGACAATAAAGAAATGGGGAAATGCTCATATCTCTTTTTGGAGCAGCGAAAGCGGTGAGAATGGCAGAAGATGTAACGATTCTCAGTCGTATCCCGATCATGTTTCAAAAGCTGAAAGTCCAAATATAAAATTAAAATTTTCGCAATGAAAGTCAGCCGGTTCAACCTAACCGGATGGTTCAGGTCCAAAAGTACCAAAAAAAAATACATCAAAATCAACTCTGGTTTTCCTAACAAACAAACACAAAACTGATTTGTAGACTAAGTAAAAGCCCCTTTGTAGTGGGGCTTAGTACCTTAAGGGATACTGATTGTTCCCAAATCTTTCAGAAGGGCATTCATACGCAATGTGTCCCCTTCCACCACAATTCCGACATACCATCAACCGAGCCGTGCAGTCTCTGCTCATATGACCCACTTGCCGACAGTTCCTACACACAATGTCCTCGGACTGGGTTCGGCCGCTTCGGTTTCCACATGGTCTTCGGTCTCCTACTACCCCATCTGTTTTTGGGCATTTTATAGCAAAGTGACCAGAAACGTTACACAGATTGCAGACAGGATCGTCTCTGCAGTCACGGGCTAAATGACCCGTCTTCCTGCAGTTGCTGCAGGCTTTTTCATTTGTGCAATCAGCTGCAAAGTGACCTTGCTTGTAACAGTTGTTGCAGAGTCTAAGGTCACCAGGTGGGAGCTGGCGAGCAGTGCAGTCTTTTGCTTGGTGTCCGGCAATTCCACAGCTGTGACAAATGCCTTGGTTAGTGCAGCTATTAGCCATGTGACCTGGTTCACGGCAGTTCCAACACAGCGACTTTGTTGAGCATTCGGATACAATATGCCTGCCGAGTTTTTTATAGACAATATTAATCTAAGCCAAAATAGTATAACTTGGTATAATGTTGGCCAGTAAAAAGCAAATCCAAAGAAGCACACAAACAAATATATAAATCAATCAATCGAAATCAGCTAAAATGTGATGTACAAATCCACCTTAGAGATTGGGGTGTGTTATCATAAAAGGTAACAAGAACTTCACAAAACCAAGTTAAAAGGTAATAAAGAAATGCAACGATGGAATAAGAAAGGCAAGCAGAGTATGAATGAATAGGTGTACCCAGGAAGGCCACAGTTGTGGCAGATTGAGACATTAGGACAATCTCGAGCAAAATGACCAGGTCGCTTGCAGTTATTGCACGTATTACTTCTTTGGCTGCAAGAGAGAATTCAATGTAGCAACAAAGAAGCAAATTAGTATAGCAGCCTACTCCACCCACAGTTAAACAACTCCTTAGTACATGAAATACAGATTTGAAGAGCAATGAGAGAAACCTGAAACTTGGAACTGAAGCTCTTCGATAAGGATCATCACGGTAAGCAAAACGATCACTAAGAATCTTCCTGCTCCTTGTCTCTGAACTCATTTTCTTCTAAAGACCACAAAATCGGAAAACTCTTCAGAGCAAACGCAAGTAAAAATTATCTAATTCGCCACAGAACAATAATACATACGGTGCGAATTCGAGATGAACGCATTCTTTAAGGTACGATAAAACCCTAATAACTGAATCTCGAGTGAAGGAACTAATAAGAGGCAAAACGAAATCAATACCTTAAACCAAAATCAACCAATACATTCTTTTAAGAAGATAGCGGAAGTCGATTTCACTGAAGAAACAGCAGTGTACCTCCTTCACGGCGGTGACTGGCAGCTGATCTCCGACGACGAAACGAAATTGAGAGATGAGGGAGACTCGTTAAAACAAATTAATGACGTCAGCAATTGGTTTGTTAAGAAATGGGCTTTGAAAACCCAATAACAAACTAAAACCTAAATGGAGCCCATTATGAAATTCACTAGTCTCCTTAATTAAACTCTGCAGATTCACTCACATAAACATTAAAAGAAAAAAACCATCGAAAAAAAGGAAACAAAGGCATAGAAAGAAAAAGGAAATTACAGAAAAAAAAAGGAATTGTTGTGTGACCGTTAACGTTAATTGTGATTAGCAATTTCCTTTTTCCTTTGAACCTCTTTGCTTATATAAATAGATGAGACTCTCTCTCTCACGCAGTCTTTTTCTCGCTTCTTCTAATTCTTTTCTTGTGAGAGAAATCAAAACTCTCTTTTTCTCGCTTCTTCTTCTTCTTCTTCTTCTCCTTCTTACGCACCACTACTCTTCTCAACAACGCTTCTTTTCATTCTTCTTCTCTTCTCGAGCCAATTATGTCTTTATACAGAGACTCTGTGAATTCTAATGATGATCCATGTTTGAAATAAAGGTCGCTGGAGTTAGGGTGATCGGAGCCGGAAAGCATATATCATCGGTTCATTGATTGAATGATCATCTCCTCTATCGTCTTCTCTCTAAATCAAAGATCGATTTCAGTTCGCCCTAAATCCACCGGATAATGATCTAGCCACCGAAGTGCTTTCACCGATGGAGAGAGCTCCCAAGAACGATGGGCTCAAATATGACTTTGGAATGGGCTTTCTTTTTTGTATCGGGCCTTCTTTGCTACAAATCCAACAAGGTATTACTTTCCTCATTCTTATTTTTTATTTTGTTTCCTTTTATTTTCCTTTAAGATTAGTTTAAATATTAATTTAGTTTAGAAATAATAACTGCTAATTAAAATAATTAAACTAATGATTTTAAGATAATACTAAAATTTAAAACAAATTTAACACTTAAATTTTAAGAAAATAATGTTTTTAACTAAAACTATGTTAATGTCACTATTACTTTTTAAAAATTAGTTTAAGTGTTAAATTTTAAAAACGTCGAAAACTAACTGCGCCTAGGCATCCTGTCCTTAATCGGTCCGTAAGCTTTGGTGTTCGAAGTTCGGCATGTTTTCACGTAATATAGATTTAACACTTAAACTCGTTTAAAAAAAATAATAGTGATTTTTGACTAAAATTTAAAACAAAATTTAACACTTAAACTTTAAAAAAAAATAATGTTTTTAACTAAAACCATGTTAATTTCACTATTACTTTTTAAAAATTAGTTTAAGTGTTAAATTTTAAAAACGTCAAAAACTAACCGCGCCTAAGCATCCTGTCCTTAATCGGTCCGTAAGCTTTGGTGTTCGAAGTTCGGCATGTTTTCACGTAATATAGATTTAACACTTAAACTCGTTTAAAAAAAATATTAGTGATTTTTGACTAAAATTTAAAACAAAATTTAACACTTAAACTTTAAGAAAATAATGTTTTCAACTAAAACCATGTTAATTTCACTATTACTTTTTAAAAATTAGTTTAAGTGTTAAATTTTAAAAACGTCAAAAACTAACCGCGCCTAAGCATCCTGTCCTTCATCGGTCCGTAAACTTTGGTGTTCGAAGTTCGGCATGTTTTCACGTAATATAAATTTAACACTTAAACTCGTTTTAAAAAAATAATAGTGATTTTTGACTAAAATTTAAAACAAAATTTAACACTTAAACTTTTAGAAAATAATGTTTTTACCTAAAACCATGTTAATTTCACTATTACTTTTTAAAAATTAGTTTAAGTGTTAAATTTTAAAAACGTCAAAAACTAACCGCGCTTAGGCATCCTGTCCTTAATCGGTCCGTAAGCTTTGGTGTTCGAAGTTCGGCATGTTTTCACGTGATATAGATTTAACACTTAAACTCATTTTAAAAAAATAATAGTGA